GGGTCCGGACCCCACAGACAGCCCGGCCGCTCACGGGCGGAGCGGGGGGCGGGAGCAACCCCGAGGGCTGCGATCCCGTGGCCGGTCCCGGTCCAGTACGGGCGCGACACTGAGGGTTGCGATCCGTTGCCGGTCATGACAAAAGACAAAAAGGAAAAAAAAAAAAAGAATTTGAATTAATAAAGGTAGAAGGAATGATGGAAATAAAAAATCACTATTGTAACAGATACTGAGGGTTGCGATCCGTTGCCGGTCATGACAAAAGACAAAAAGGAAAAAAAAAAAAAGAATTTGAATTAATAAAGGTAGAAGGAATGATGGAAATAAAAAATCACTATTGTAACAGATAAGAATCATTGACAGATGCTAAAATTACTGCATGAAAGACTGATGCAGGGTATTTGCATGGTCTCAAAGCATCTCTCCACAACATACTTTATTAATTCCAAAAGGGAAAATAATGACTTTACAGTGGGGAAACCTGGCAGACACCACCTTAACCCTGGATCAAGGTGAATATCACCAGTCATAAGGCATAGTGACATCATGCAGCTGATATGCTGCACCAGGAAGGGCACGACACCACTTCTGTGGTATTCTTGCCAAAAATGTATGACCTCTCATTGTAAATGAGAAGATATCAGACAAACTCAAACCGAGAGACATCCTACGAAATACCTGACTAGTATCTTCTAAAGAGTCAAAGTCATGAAAGACAAAGAGGGATGGGACTAAGGAACTGTCACAGATTGGAGAAGCCTAGGGGACACAAGAACTACATGCAATGTAAAATCTTGTATTGGATCCTGGACAAGAAAAAGAACAGTAGAGAGAAAACTGGCAAAATCTGAAAAAAGTCCGTAGATTAGTTAGTAGTATTGTACCAGTGTTAATTTCTTGGTTTTGAAAATTGTTTGGTGGTTATATAGGTGTCACTGTTAGGGGAGACTGTGGGAAGGGTATATGGGAAATCTGTACTCTTTCTGCAACTTTTCTACAAGTCTAAAATTATTTCAAAATAAAAAGCAAAACAAACAAACACAAACCCTCAGTGGGTAGGTCAAATAGCAAAAAAGAGTAAAAGTAGATTGGAAGACAGACATGAAGAAATTATCCAGAATATAGTACGGAGAATCAAGAAGATGGAAAATATGAGTTAGAGACACAGAAAGATGACAGAGTGAGAAAGTCTGACAGACATTTAATTGGAATCCCAGCAGGAGAGAACAGAGAACATGAAGTGGGAATGAAGAGATAATGGCTGAAAGCTCCCAAAACAAATGAAAGACATGAGTACAAACCGAGTGAGGTTAAGTAAAAAAAAATCTGTATTGTGAACACATTGCAGTAAAATTAAAGAGAAGGGTGTAAGTGTAGCTAGAGAGAGATGTCAGGCCATTTACAAAGAAAGAACAATGTGACGGACAGGAGACCTTCCAGCCAACAATGGAAGTCAGAACACAGTGGAAGAAAATAAAGTGTGGAGAGAAAATAACTGTTACCCCAGAATTGGGTCCCTGGCAAAACTAACTTTGAAGAAATAGGACAAAATAAAGCATGCTTACAGAGAACAAAAACTGCGTTTACTACTATAGACTTACTCTAAAAGACCAGGTAAAGATGTCCTTTCCTTCAGAAAGAAGGAAAATAACCTTAGAAGGAAGATTTGAGGTGCAAGAAAACAAGGCGAACAAAGAAGTGTGTAAACATGGGCAAATCCCAACAAATAACACAGGTATAAAATAATAATAAAATTAAGGAGAAAAATGTCATTTGTAGGTACTATAAAAAGAAGAGAGATTAACATATAATAACTTGTCAGTTGAGAGAGAATAGGTGAGTAAAGATGAAATATATTATAGTCCTGGAATTATTCAGGAGGTGAAGTAGTGACTTTGCTAAGAATGCGTGGTATAATTTCAAGCTAACCTGTAAAAGAAAAGAAACAGAATATAACTTATAATCCAGGGGAGGGGACATATGAGAAAAGTCAAGGGAAGAGACGAAAACAGAAGAAAACAGAACAGGTAGAAAAAAGTAAGACAGAAGTCCAAATATGTCAGTAATCATAATAAATATAGATGAGTTAAAAATGCCAATTAAAAGAGATTGTCAGATTGGATAAAAAAAGAAAATCTAGGCATATGCTGTTTAGAAGAGACTCATCTCATACAGCCGACTCTCAAACAACTCAGGGGTTAGGGAAACTGACCTCCATGGAGTTGAAAATCTGCAGATAACTTTTCCCTGGTCACATTAAAGCAACTTAAGTAGTTAAATACCCAAGTAGTTGGCTCCATGGAACCCACGTGTACAAAAACCCTCTGTATATAAGAGTTGAAAGAAATCTGTGGATAAGTGGATCCATGCAGGTCAAACTTGTGTTGTTTGTTGCAGTGAGTTTTGAAAGCAAAGAGATGGAAAATGATGTGTCTGGACAGCTATAGCAGCCCCCCTCCTGGACAGCCTGAGGCTGGCATGAGGCTGCTGTATCCCACCCTGGGTGGTCCTTCCGATGCCCACTCACTCACCTGGCTGGTGATGTCTGAAGGCATGGGTGAGGGGGGCTTGGAGTAGGTGGCATCCTGGGAGATGAAGCCAGAGTCGTGGGAGGAGACGCTGGAGAGGCGGGCGGTGGTGGTGGCTGGCTGCGCCAGGCTGCGGTAGCGACAGGTGGAACTGGGTGAGTATGTTTGGGCACCCCCAGGCCATGGAGCTCCGCCACCCTTGGCACTGCTACCGCTGCTGGGGGCACTAGGGGAGTGAAGGAGGAGGGCACAGCAGCCAGACAGGGAGATACGGGGGTGCGCATGGGGAGGAGGGCGACAGATGAGGGTGGGGGAGAGAGGTGAAGGGCAAAGGAAGGAAAACACAACGTCAGACTACAAGGTCCTGAGACCCAGGAGCTACAGAGGAGCTGGGTTCTGGGACGGTGTGGCAGGGGAGGGCCAGAGCATGGGACACCCTGTCCGAGTGCCCCAGTGCTGAGGGAAGCCACAGTCAGGACATGCCCAGGGCGAGGCAATCTCTCTGCCTCCTACTCTGCCATTAAGAACAGCTGTCCTTAGGTTAACAATAGGGAAACTGAGTCACCAGGTGTCAAAAAATTAGAACCAGAGACGAATCTGGTCATTTCTAAACAGTCTTCTCAAAGTCTGTTCTTTGCCATCGTAATTGGATGTCTAGCACATGGTGATGATCTGTATGGGGATGGAGGTCCCTTCCAGGTGGGTCCTGGATCCACCATCACCCTCATCCCCTCCACCCCCGAGGCTGTCCAGTCCTCTGCAGCAAGCACCTTCTGCACTACCTTTGGGCGGTATTCCTGGCAATGAAGTTTGCCTTCCCCCTGAGTGTGACCCTGAAGCCTCCCAGCCCCTGCCCTTGCTTGTGGGTCTCTGCTGCAATCAACTCTCGCTCTAGTGACAGCCACACACCCAGGGTGAAGCACCTCCAGCAGCCCTGGGCCCTCTTCTCCCTGAAGGCGCATCTGACTGCTGTGCCTGGCTTCTCCCAAGCTCTGGGTGTCCAGCCAGAGGTGATGCTGGGGAAAGGGAGGCCTGGCACAGAGGGGCCTCCTCCACCAGTAACTCACTCTGTGCCCACTGTCCTCTCCTCCCAAGTAAACCTGAATTGTAAACATCTCCTCCAAATCTGGTGCCAGTGCCAGTCTGAAGAAGGGCTCCTGATCCTGAGCCTACTGGGTGATTGAGTGAGATCTCTGTGAGACCCCGGGGGCCAGTGTGCAGGCCAGGACTCAAGCCTGTGGCAGCTGCTTGGGCACCAGCTCTTAGCAACCAGCCAGGCTACAGTCTTTCACCTTGTGGCCTTAGCACATGTTCCCAGAAACCTCTGCGCCTGTCCCCAATCGTAGAGTCTTACTATTACCCCACACTGGGCTAGGCCAGGCAGACTCCAGGGGTTAAGTACAGGGACTCTGTGCTTCAGTTTCCCCTTCTGTGAAATAAAGACAACACCATACCTGATATGGCGGTGTTGGGATTCAATGAAGACAATGCACAAAGCATGTGGCATGGCACCTACACAGTTAATGCTCCAGCAATGAAGCTGGCACTGCCCCCGCTTCCTGCCAACAAATGCCTGTGCCAGCACCAGTCTTGGGATGACCGGGCAGAGCTTCCTCTACACTTGCAAATTCCTTGGATGATGGAGACGTTATGTAAACTATGGGGCCCTGAAACAGTTCTTGATGCAGCTTTGCTGAGAGCTTCCCCATTCCCTCATGGGATGTCCCTCCTGAATCCCACCCCTACTGACCTGCACATGCTGGACTTCCGGGAGCTGGAGCTGCTGGGGGACGAGGGTGGTGTCTGATAGGACCAGCTATAATCCGAGCCCTTCAGGTCTTTGATCACCTGGACAGGGACATGGATGGGGGTGACTGCAGGCAGCCCCTGCCATGAAGAGAGCCTCATCATTCTCTTAGGGTCTCCCCGAGTGCTGGAAGGGCCAGAGGCCCCCACCCTCGACCCAATTGTGAACCACACCCCAGGAGAAGGCTCCGGGGGTCTGAAGCCCCTCCCCTAGCCTTCTCCTAAGGTGGGAAGGAAGGAGACCCCAGGAGACTCAGCTTTCTCTAAGCCCCCTCAGCTTATACACTGAGTGCAAATTCTGAGCCCAGCCAGGGTTGGGCAGGGGACACTAGAGAACCGGGCACTCCAGAACTCACTGTTGCTGGCAGAGGAGCCAGGGAAGAGTGACCATGATACCACGGGGTTCAAATTGTTACTGGACCTCTCTGTGTCTGTTTTTGCCTGTGAACTGGGACCAACTGTTCCTGTCTCAGAGCACTGATAGGATTCAACTAGGTGACCCAGGAGAGTGCTCAGCAGATGGCTGGGCATACAGTAAATAAGTGGGCAATGACACCAGGGCTGTCAGGCGGCAGCAGGGTGGAGGGGGGGTGGGCAGGTATGCCTGGGTCTAGGGGAAGCAACAGGGGTTCTGGGTGTGGAGGTGACAAGGCACACCAGGTTTGGAGGGGCTCGCCTAGGTAGGCAGATGCAAGGCCAACCCCCATGGATCTGGGATGTTCACCCACCTGCTCTCAGTCTGAGAGCACCATTGAGTAGCACCCCTCATCTGGGCAGGTGTTCCTGAATGCCCCATGGTGGTGTTGGAAGGTGTCTGGTCTTCCGCCCCCCAGCTGTCTCCCCCAAAGGCTGCCTCTTTTTTTCTATTGTCCCCATCCAAGGGCAAGCCCATCTCCTCCCTGCCCTGGCCCTTGGCCCTCGGGCTGGCCGCACCTGCTCGCTGGCGGGAGGCAGCTTGTGGGGTTCTGCGGTCAGCACCACCAGGTCGTCGATGATGCCCTGCAGGTGGGTGATCTCTCCCAGCATGGTCAGCTCGCCGTTCTGAGGAAGCAGTGAGTCAGAGCTACTGGCCCCCCACTGCCTGCCTGCCCACCTTCACCCTTCCCTGCTAACCAACGCTGCTTGGGGCTGGTGGACTTGCATGTCCTGGGCAGCTGGCAAGACCATCTGTCCAGACCAAATCAAGACATGATGAGCTTGAGATCCACCTCTGGGCCAGGAGCACATGACCCAGCCGGGGATCACTGAGAAATGGCCTTTCTTGGAGGTTAAGAGATCAACCCTGGGCCTGGCCCAACCCGCTTGGGCCTCCAAGTCACCAAGAGACCCACCACCACGGGCTGCAGGAAGGTGATGAAGGTGCAGAAACGGCCACGCTCCTCGATCAGGGCCCGGCGCACCGCCTGCTTCTCTGTCTCCTCCAGCAGCAGGTACATGTCATTGACATCCTGCAGGGCGCTGTCCAGCTGGGGCTGCAGGTCTCCTTTCCCTGGAAGGGTTGGGAGGAGAGGCTGCGCTGGGGATGCTGGCCTGGCTCACTGCACTCACGGCTCAGGGCCCTGTGGTGGCATCCCTGGCAGTGGGCTGGGTACTGCCACGGGGACCAGGGGTCTGGGGAAGGCAGGCAGGACGCTGGGGCTTGTGGAGGGGCTGGCCCCACCAGAGTAGGGAGAGAGGACAGACACATATGCACAGGACAAACACCAAAGCTGCAATGCCACCAGGGACCTGGGGTGGGCAGAGCCCTAGGTAGCCCAAGGAGGGCTTTGGAGCCCAGCTGGAGGCCTTCACCTCCCCCAAGATGCTCCCACTGCCCATTGGATGGCACCCCCTCACCTTTGGGGTCCAGGGAGATAGACTGGAAGCAGAACAAAATAGAGGGTGGGGGCTCAGCTGTAGGCCAGGCCACTGGGGGGAGGGTGGTGGTCAGGAGAGCTAGGGGCTGGGACTTGGGGGCAGAGACAGGGATATCTCAGTGTGGGCCCCTACTCAGCTCAGGGAGCAATGCACGAGGACGCAACAGCAACACAAAGAAGCAGCGAGAGAGACAGAGAGAGGCAGAAGATGATGCAAAGGAGATGGTGAGATGGGACATGGGGGGGCGACTGGTGAGGACGCAGGGCTGGCCCGGTGGGGCGGGCAGCCAGGGCCTGTGCCTCCCACCCTGCCCTGGCCAACCCCTCCTGGCCTGGCAGACCGACCCAGCAGTGGCCCCAGACTCATCCCTGGCAGGGGTCCCAGGGGCCCCAGGGAGGCTGTGCCTCAGGACCCTCCCTCTGACTGCCTTCTTCACTCCTCCTTGGCCTGGAGAGGTTTCTTCCAATGGCCCTGAGCTGGGGGAGACAGACAAATGCGACAAGGACGGGAGGAGCAGCTGGAGGGATGGACATTTGACTTACCAAGTAGCTCTACAGGAAGGATGTGGGAGGAGAGGAGGAGAGACAGAGAAAGAAAGAATGTGTGAAAGACAGCCGGATGGACAGAGCCACTCCTGGGGCAGGGTAAGGGGCCTGGGCCTGTGGGGCCCCCGGCTGCCTTCTTGAGAGGGAGGTCCTGGACCAGGTCTGGGGTGCAGGGCAGCTCCCTCGGTCCCACCCGACAGGTTGGAGGGTCCTGTGTCCGGGATAGGGCCCCTTGGGCCAGGATCCTGCCCTGTGGCGCCCCCAGGGCGGTGGGGGCCATGGAGTGGGGCCCGTGGGGCTGAGCCTCCCAGGCGGCTCCGGGCTCTACCTTTGCGTGCTTTTTTCTGCAGCTTCAGTGTGTCTGACGACTTCTTCTTGATCTCATGCCGGGCTCGTTTGTATTCTGCGCAGAGGACAAGAGGGAGCGCTCTAGTGGGGGTCCCCGCTGAGTGGGAGTGGAAAGCCCCTGCCAAGCCCGCCCCACCTTTCGCGTGGTCCTTGTCCAGTTGGTTGGCCGACTTCTTCCAGTCCTCGATGCGCTCCTGCAGCGGGTTGATGAGGCTCTCCAGCAGCGCGCTGTGGGCGAGGGAGTGACCGGGTCAGGGCCACGGGGGGGGGGGGGGGGTCTCCCCGTGAACGCCCCCCGCCCACCCGCGGGGCCCACTCACTTGGTGAACTGCCGCAGCTTGGTCTCGATGCTGCGGTGGCGCATGCACATGCGCGTGAGTGCCGAACCAATGTCCCTCGTGGCCCCTGGCGAGACAAGCGCGCGGCGTGGGAAGGGGCCCGTGGGCCCTCTGCAGTCCCAGTCTCGGGCCACGAGGGGGCGCGCCAGGCCGCGCCCGCAGCCCGCGCCCCGCCCCCACCAATCCGCAATCCTGCGGCCCTGGGGGGATCTGCTCACTTGTGAGTATCTACCTGAGCTCCTCCCACGGCCAGGCCCAGGGCCCTGGCCATCCTGACCACACCAGCCTCCTGCAACTGCAGGTGCTCTGCTGGGGAGGCCACGAGCGTCCCCGCCCGCTGGGAGAGGCCAGAGCCAAAGACTGTCCAAGGAGGAGCCAGCAACATGGCCCTCCTGCCCCACCAGGAACCCCCTCCAGGTGCGCCTGGACATAGGCCTGAGCGTTCGCACACATGCCCAGGGCCTGGTGTTCTCAGCACCCGAAGGAACAGGAGGCACATGGGGCTGGTGAGAAGGAGCGTATCAGACTCACTGCACAGAAGTGTGAGTAACTGCGGTGGGGGGTCAGGCCAACTGCCCACAGCAGGAAGGGAGTCCCCGTGTACCATCCCTGCCACCACTTACCCACTCCTGCTCGCATGCCTCCTGTGACGAGGGCTCACTCTCTCCACAACCCATTCCATTAGGGAGCAGAACCCAAGGTCCTGACTCTGGGCCTGGCATCCTCTCCCTGGTCCATTCCCCACTCAGCCGTTCTGGCCGCCAAACCCCCCTGGGGCATCCCCAACCTCTGGCCACAGCCCCTCCCCACCTCGGGTGTTGGTGGCCATATCAGCCACTTTCTGGAAGGCATCCAAGAAAGCCACCGCAGCCAGCACAGTAGTCCTGGGGAGACGGATGATGGGATGGATCGTCAGTGGTGAGGTGTCCTCTCCTCCACCCGCCCCCTCCCCATCTGGGCCACCCTGAGCAGCCTCACCTCAGCTGGGAATGCAGTTTTGTGGCCTTGGAGTTGAAGTCCTCCCAGATGGGGTAGGAGCTCTGCCAGGGAGAGGGGAGAGGAGGTGAGACCCTATGCGGACTGCAGCTTGACCCTCTTGGAGGACAGAGCCACCAGGCATGAGGAAAGCCCCGGGAATGGGAGCCTTTGCTCATCCCTCCGTCCCTAACAGTCAGGGGCCCACATCCTCCCTCAGGCAGGTCCTGTCTCTTCAGGGCTCCCCAGGGCCTGGCAGGGGATCTGGGCTGATCTCCATAAGAGGCACCATGTCCCCAGGACACATGCTGGGTACTGACCTGCCCACAGTGTGGAGGGTAGAGACTGGCTGGGCTCAAGGCATGCAGTTCTAAGCCTCCCCCTGTGCCCCGGAAGCCGCTGCGGGCAGGCCAGCCATCCCAGGCCAGCAGCAGTGGCTCCCAGGCCTGTGGAGGCCATGGCTGCTGTAGGGTCTGGCCAGCCTGCCCAGGACAACCAGGCCCCAGGCTGAATGGGGCCTTGTGTGGCCAACAGAGCCACCTTTCTCCACCCCCCGCTCCCCTCCCCTCCTGGGGAAACAGTGTGGCCTTTATCCCAGCCTGGCCCAAGGCTCCAAGTTGGGAGGGGGTTTCCCAGTAGGGAGGTCGGGCTCCTGGAGACCGAGTTGTCCAGTCTGATTAAAGGGGCTTTTCTGGCTACCCCACTGTCCCCACGGCTGCAGTTTCCTGGAGAAACCTCAGCCCTGGCCCAAGGGCCTTGTGGAGACCTTGTTCCTTGAAGGGAAGTCCTGAGCCAGCCAACCCCAAACCCCAGCCCAAAGGGGCCTCTGATGCTCCCCTCCTTGTAGCATGGGGCACTGGGGGACAGGGTTTTTCCTAAGGAAAGAGGGAAGGCAGAGGGCTTGGCTTTCAAGGCCTCAGAGGGAGGCTCCACCCAGCAGGAACCCCAGGGGCAGACTCCAACTGGCTTCTCCAGCGAGGAGAGCCCACAGGGGTGGAGAGGAGACAGGGCAGCTTCCGGGAACCTCACACCCCCTCTCCTCCAAGCCCAGTCACACCAGTGCCCGTGCCCAGGGAAAGCAAATATTTGACAAGTCTACAAAGGCTGGAGCAGAGAGGGGAAGCCGTGGGTGGGCTGTCCCCACATGGCACAGTGTAGGGTAAAGGGGCCCCAGAGGCCATTGCTAGCAGTCGCAAGGAGCTGATCCATGCCTTGGCACCCCCAGGGGTTTCCTGGAAGTGGGTACCCTCCCATCACCTAGACTACCCCTTCCAGCCTTGAAGCCTTGCTAAGACCTCCCTCCAGGGAATAGAGAAGACGCTAAGGGTAAGGGAGAGTCCAGAGCCAGCTGTCCTGGCTCCAGGAAACCTTCTTAGTCCCTTCAGCAGCCCATGGGCTGTCTCAGAGACTGAGGGATCTCCCAGTGGGGAGGGGAACAGAGGGTATGGGGGAGGCCAGGTCCAGTGTCCCCTCAGCAGATGGACCCGGCACCTCAGTCTCAGGCATCTGGGATTCCAACCCCTCCTCCCTCTGGCCCACAGTAATTCATGAAGGACCCCAGAAGGCCGGAGCAGCCAGTGCCCAGGGAGGGTGTCCTCAGTCTTCACCTGGGCTCAGGCCCCAGGTGTCAGGTCCTAAGATTCTGACTGATCATCATTAGTCACAATAGTTGCTACTGTTGATCAAGTGCTTCTGGTGGGCCAGGCACTGCACTAAGCCCTTTGAATATGATCACACAGAATCACACAGTCCCATGAGGTGGAAACTATTATTGCCCCCATTTTACAGATGAGGAAACTGAGGCTCATAGAGGTTAATTGACTTGGCCACAGCTGCAGGGTGGCAGGGTCAGGATTTGATCCCACGTCTGACTGGTCACTACACATCAGAGAGAGATCCCTTGTTTCTGTAGGTGCAAGGAGATGTGCACCTGAGCATCAGGGTGGGGAGGTGGCAGGGATGGGGGAAATACCCAGCTCTGCCTTAAGCACAGTGGCTGCTGGGGGGTAGGGGGAAGAGGAAGTGCTTAACACATGGCCCTTGGAAGAGATCCCTTGTTTCTGTAGGTGCAAGGAGATGTGCACCTGAGCATCAGGGTGGGGAGGTGGGAGGGATGGGGGAAATACCCAGCTCTGCCTTAAGCACAGTGGCTGCTGGGGGGTAGGGGGAAGAGGAAGTGCTTAACACATGGCCCTTGGAGACTCATCTCTGTCTGGGTGGCGGCTGTGATTGAGGTGTGGGATGTGGGCATCCTGGGCTCCAGTCCCAGAGAGAGGACTTTCTGGATGACCCTGGGCAAGGGCTCCTTCTCTGAGCCTCACTTTTCTCACCTGTAAAATCAGGAGAGGAGCTGCACCTAGCACACAGTGTCAGTGTGGAGACTCAAGGAGGCACTGTGTAGGAAGCATGGAGCACAGTGCCGGGCACGCAGTAAGTGCTTAGTTAATGTTGGCTAAAAGAGAACACACAACCCTGCCTCTCTGCCAGGAGCTCCTCCCACCTGGCCAGGGCCTGTGTGTCTGGGTGACACTCCCTAATCCTGAGGGGGTAGGCAAAGATTATGGCTCCATTCACTCTGCTAAAGGTGCTACATCCAGACCTATCAGCTTGGGCAGGTCCCTGCCTCTCTCTGGACTTCAGTGGGCAGCCTGGTGCCAGGGGACATCTGACCTGGGTTGTGTGAAGCCCAGAAAGCAAGAAAGTCCCTGAGGGCCCCCTGCCCAATCATGACTTGGTGCCCTCCTCAAGGCCATCCACGCTCCTGCTGTAGCTTGGGGAGTCCCCCTCCTCCCCTCTGCCACCCCTCAGCCCAGGGAAGGCTGTTGTGGGGCCTGTGGCCTTGCAATGGATCAGCCTTGCCCGGCAAGCTCAGTGTCCTCAACCTGGCCAGCCAGCTGGTGGCCACCTTCCTCTACAGAAGCCCTGCTTCCAAGGGAAATAGCTGAAAGTAGCCTCCAAATCCAGGTGATGGGCCAGTACTCTTCTCTGTCCCTGGCCAGGGCCCTTGAACACAGCATATGTCACAGGTAGGGGCATACCATACTTGGCACCACCCCAGGTGAAACCTCTGCCATTTTGCCTCCACATGTCAGAAGATCCTGCCCCATGTCTAGCCTAAATCTCTTTCTACAGTCTGGGCTCATTTCCTTCTGTCTCATCCCCAAGTTCCTTGCAAATTGGCTGGAGGGGGAGGGAGACAGTCCAGCTCCTCTTCTGTGAGCAAAAGCTGCTGCTCTCTGCAGTGTTTGCTGTGAGGCTGCCAGTGGGAGGAGGGTGTGGGAAGGTCCCACCCTCAGCCAGCCCTGGGAGTGGCCGGGGGAGGGTGGTCTGGACTGCCCAGTCCCAGAAAGGGATCCTGGTGCTAGGACTGTGATGTCCACAGGGCCGGCGTGGGGTGCTGAAGGCCTTCAGAAGGACTCGGAGGTGGAGTTGCAGGGGATGGAGGTCTCAAGGGAGTGCACCATGTGGGGAGGAATGCCGGCAGGGCGGGGGAGGGTCACCTACACACTGCAAACCGAGTACTCCCTGGCCAGGATGGATTCAGGCCTCTTCTCTTCCCCAGGGCAGAGATCTGGCAGCTGCCTCTGGGGCTGTTTCCCTGGCAGCACCTGGAACCTCTGGCTTGCCTGTATCCCCCACCTTCCGCAGGGCCCGTCCAGGCACTGAGGGGTGGGCTACACTGTGGAGTGTGGGTTTCCCGCCTTAGGCCTGATGGGATTCTGTGTCGTGTATTTGGTGAGTGTGTGCTGGGCTGTGAGGTTGGGGGCCCTCAGGAGTTCCTATGGGGAGCCAGGTTCTTTCTGCTCCTTCCCAGCCCCACAGTCCTGCCCCCTCATCCTAGGCCAAGGAAGTGGGTAGAGGAGGAGGGGAGGGTGCTGGTTCCTGGCCTCCACCCTGTCACTGGAGCAGGGGCCCTCTCCGCCTAGTCAGCCTGGGGCAGCCCTGCCAAACTCTGGTCTCTTTCATCTGAGAGGATCCCCCTGGCTCCCAGATGAACAATGAGGTCTGAGTTCAGGGATAGGGTCCAACAGTCTCCTTAACGACCTTGAGCCATTCCAGGCCTCAGTTTCCCCGCTTGGTGGGGTGAGCCAGGAATTGGTGGTCTGCTCCAGCCTGACCTTGGGCAATCATGGGAAGGGGGCGTTGGAGCTGATGGCCTGGGTGTGATGAGGTAGGAAAAGCACTCCCTAGGGGTTGCTCCACCAACCCCAGACTTCTCCCCGCTCCTTCCAAGGTGGTGATAAAGGCCTATCCCTGGTTGCAGGGACATTCCGCCTGCAGACTTCGGAGTCTGGGAGCTTCCTGGGGCTTGCTGGGGGTGGGGTAGGCAGTCGCCGAGGCCGGCGGGGAAGGAGTTAACGGTTCTCCGCTTTAGTATTTTTTCCTGCTTTGGCGGTGACAGCATTGTCTGGGCTCCGGGGCCTTCAGGGGTCGGGGCGAACATGGTGGTGGAAGGGGGCGGAGGCCGGTGAGACCCCGTACCCGTTAAAGGGCCGCAGAGTCAGCCCTGGAGCCAAACCCCATTCATGGTTTGGGGGTCTGCGACTCAGGGAGCCCGAGAGTGCGCAGGCTCGGGTCGGGACCCCACGGGGCGACCCCGGGCACCGCACGGATACCCCGACACACGGGCACCCACACTCCCCAGATGGGCAGCCGGAGACCCGTGCGCACAGCAGACACAGGCAGGACACGCTCGGACAAGGACACACAGACACCGCGGGGCACGGCCGGCCGCCCCCACC